TCGTCCGTCCACCCTTTGGGACCCTCAAAAAAAAATTTTTTTTTTTTTTTTTTTTTTTTTTTTGACGTCGCATGTTTATCAGCTGTACATTTAATTAGCAGTTTGCGCTAATCCTAATTGTTGTCTTAATTGAGCACCCTGCCACATAATTTACTGAATTGGGGTTTTGAAAGCACATGCTGATCGGCGGCCATCTTTGTTTGGCCTCTGGTTGGGAAGCAATCAGAGTTCGCATTTTCTCTGGTGGTCCCGTGGCGCAGGTTTGGTAAGCCAGTGAGGCCTCGATCAAACCGCCACCTGCGAGTGCCGTGTGTGTTTTGCGTGCGCGTGATGTCCGATGTCGTTTGTTTCCTCTCCTCGTCTGCCATTTTGGGAGTCGGCGTGGATGACGTCATTGATCCAGCTGCGGAAGCGGCTGACGCGTGTGTACAGTGCCGGCGAGGAGGGGTCCGCGCAGCCGTAGCGCCCGGCAACCACTCCTGCCAACACCCACCGACCGGCCTCGGCATGACACAGCAGGCCGCCTCCAGAGTTGCCGCTGCAACCTTCGCCGCTGCCATGGACCGGGCTGGTGTCCGGGGGGCTGCCGGCGCACACGGTGCCATGGCTAGAGAAGCTGTCGCCGTGGCGCTTCTTGCATTGCCACGATGACATGATCGGAACCCAAGACGCCAGCACAGAGTCTAGGACACAGAAACATCATCGATAAAAGCTTCCAAAGTTAGCTTTAGCACAAGCTGTCATATTTCGATATAAGCTTTTGAAATTAGTTAACTGAACCGGTGGGCCACATCTGGCCTGCCACAACTTTTTCTTTTTATCAGATGAAGAGGGGAACGTTGGCTTCCGACATGAGCTTCAACATCACCCACCTGATGTGCTCCGCCGCGTGGTCACCAGGACGACGCAGGCAGCCGGCATGCTGCTGTGGTCATCGTCAGGCAGGCAAGCGGCATTGACGTGGGGATCAAAGGTAAAGCAGTGACCCTTCTGCGCGCCGGGCAGTTTGAGCATGGCTAGGTCATGACCTCCACTCTGGCCTTTGAACTTCTTGTGGACGACCACACGCTCTGGGGTCAGAGTCCGCTCAGAAGCCCCGACCCGCACCACGTACCTGGATGGCTCTGTTCCAAACCTGATGGCGATGCGATTTATGTTATCAAAGCAGCAAGATGATGCTAGTGACTGGTATTTGGAGTTACCTGGCAAAACAGGTGGCGGATGTGAGGGCCCAGCAGGAGCCGATGAGAGTGGCGCTGCAGAGAGGGCCGCCATCTTGACTTTGGGACTGAAGCCACACCGACGCCTGCCAAGGCCACGATATCCTGCAACAAGTGGTTTGCATATGTGATCAAGATCTGCTCCTGTATATTATTTCCAATGTATTCAATTGTATTAATTTGACTTTGTTTCATTCACGATTTTTGTTTCATTTTTTTCCAAATGTATCTGAATCAGGTCATCGGACATGCAGTGACCCATGATATCCACCAGGTAGAGCTAAAACCAGCAAACTAGTGGAAGACCACCCACCTGAGCATGTTTCCTCCTCCCTCTCGGGCCTTGCTTTCACCGCTGTCCTGTTGAAGCTTCCTCACCCCACAGCTGGCCTCCAGTTGGCGTACTTGAACCATCGGGTAGGACGTCGAAGCAGCGGAGGTGTCACACTTGACCCCTGCCACTTGCCCGTGCCGGCAGCCCAGCATGTTCAGGCCCAGAGAGGGACATTCCCCCAGGAACTCCTCCTTGCCTGTGCACCTCACTTGGTCCAGGTGGACCGGTCCTTTGCCCTGCCCGAAGCCCCTCGCCACCAGAGCGCCGCCACTGGCGAAGAAGGAAGACCAACTTTAGCCTCCAATGTTAGCTTCAGAGTTGGCCTTGCAGATAAAACTTGGAAGACCAACTTTAGCTTGAAATGTTTGATTCTGAAGTTAGCCTCCACTCTTGGCTTCTGAAGTTAGCTTCTAAAAGCCATCGCATTGAGACTAACATTGTTAGCTTCCCAATTTAGATTCTTAAATTCGCATTCGATGTGAGCTTCAGAGTTCGCTTCACATGTTACCTCATGATAAAGCTTAGGAAGACCAACTTTAGCTGCAAATGTTTCATTCTGAAGTTAGCTTCTCATGTAACGTAGCCATTGCATTGAGACTAACATTGTTTGCTGCCTCCATTGTTAGCTTCCCAATTTAGATTCTTAAATTAGCATTCATTCTCAGCTTCAGAATTGGCTTCAAATGTGACATCAATCTTAGAATCCCACATTTAGCTTCCAGTGTTTCTTAAGTTGGTTTCTAATTTGACCGAACCATAGCACCAAGGAAGACTAATAATGCTAGCTTCCAAAGTTGCCTTCTCTGTTGCCACCATGTTGCTCGTCACCTGTGGCCCAGTTGCCTGCACACCACAGCGGCGTTGAGGTCGTTCCACCCCGAGTCACAGATTGTCCCCCAGTCACCGTGGAGATAGACCTCCACACGCCCCTCCTTCCTATCGGCCCCCCCAGCAAGACGCAACAGAGGACCTGAAAATATTCGGAAAAATATGATTAGCTTTGATTACAGTGGAGAAAGACGCCCGCAATCACAAGGTTTGTGTTTATTTTGTTCTTATTTTTCATAGTATGTGTCTTTTATTTATATATATTTGGAAATTCTGTGTAATCATGTGACATATCTAATGTTTTGATCCTTTTGTGGATCTAGAAAGTGACAAAAGTATCCATCAAAAGTGAGCATTGCATGGCACGGGTGCACCCAAGCCTCATCACCTGTGGATGGGGCGACAACGGGCACGTCGTTGGTCTCGTCTTCAGGCTTCCCTCTGCAACGCACGCCAACGTCCTCAGCGTGGGAGCAGTCGGTGCGACCCCAGATGCCGTGGCGGCAGTCCAGCAGAGACATCTCGGAGCCGTCGCAGTGGACGTCATCCAGCAGGATGAGACCGGCCCCCTCCCCAAACGTCCCGCCTGACACTACCTCAGCATAACCCCTTAGAGAAGAGAAAAAGAACGGTGAACTCCCGTCTATTTTTGGTTTGCGTTCACAAATTCACTTATTTGTCCTTTTTCTGTTGAACCTATCGTCGCATGTATTTTGTGCTCCTTCCATCATGCCCAAAGATGCCACAAAATGACGCCAAAGCCCTAGAAAAGTCACCGGTGCCAAAGAATGTTTAAAAAAAAAAAAAAAAAAAAAAACTCTTTACATGATGGGAAGGAGCCAAGTTTAGCCTCGGTTGTTTGTGGAAATTAGTTTTCCCGGCAAGTGCACTTAAACGCGGCGTTCTGGAAGCTAATTTGACCAAAGTAACTGCTTTTTACGAATTAGCTTCAGTCTTTTCATTTGTAATCTAATTGGTTTGCAGTTAAGTTGTTAGAAGAACCTGACACATCAGCGAAGACACTATTTGAACTACAGACGCACAGGCCTAATATATAGATAGGGAGGTGTGTGTGTGTCATACATGCATATGTCATCTATCTGTCACCCGTACCTATATCCCAGTTGTCCACACACCACCTGTGCGTGCTCTTGCATCCAGTGGTCGTCACACACCGTCCCCCAGTCGCCGTTGTGGAGCACCTCCACGCGGCCCTCCCAGGGATTGTCGCCCCCCACCAGACGAACCACTCCGTCTGAAAGCATCAAATATGGTATCTTTACAACACTCACGATGTTCATGACCATGTTTATGAATTTCATGTTAGGCCGTTTATCTTTCTTTTTTTTCCCAACATGCACCTTAAAACATCCTTGTTTTTACTTTTTTTAACGTCCTTGTTTTCCTACTCATCTATGGGCCATTACTCTGTGTATCGCCGAACCTGAGATCTGGTGTTTACATCGTCTGTGTTAATCAGCCACTCCATCACCGCGGCTGGGTTTTCGCTTAGTAATTATTTATTGATGTGGAGGATATAAATAGAAACTTTTAGGTGTGTGTGCGTGTGTGTGTGTGTGTGTGTGTGTGTGTGTGTGTGTGTGTGTGTACATGCACTTGTGCGTCATGCCTGTGTAAGGGCTGCAGGAGACTCCGGCGTCCTCCATGTGGTCGCAGTTGTGCTGCTCCCAGTGCCCGTGTGGACACTGATCCAGGAAGAGTTCGTTTCCCGTGCACTTGACAGCGTCCAGCAGGATGGGACCCGAACCCTGACCGAAGTGAGCCCATGCCCACGCCTTGGCCACACCGCTAAGACACATACACAATCAATACTCTCTCCATATATATAAAAAAATCATATTTCATGATTTGGCAGCACCCACCTGAAGCCCAGCTGCCGGCACACCACCTCCGCGTCTCTGTCGTCCCATTGGTCGTCGCATATGGAGCCCCACCTGCCGCCGTGGAAAACCTCCACACGTCCTTCAAAGTCTTCCTCACCTCCGACTAGTCGTAGCGGAGGTCCGCTGCCTGGTAAATGGCACGTTATACATATCACACACACACACACACACACACACACACACACACACGAGTTTTCTGTGACAATGACATACACACCATGCAATTTTTTTTTTTTTTTGTCTTGCTATCCTTTTTTAAATGACATTTGCATTGCTATGCAAAACAATTTACTCGTTTGATTTATTTTCCATTTCATACAGAGTGTGCGTTCATGTGTGAAATTCTCCAGTCTGACCTTCAGGAGGCGCACACAGGACGGCTGCCTCGTTTCCATGGTTACAGTCCCCGGTGATGAACGTCCTGCTTCCGCAGGCGCTCACGCTGTTCTCGTCACCACGGCAACCCAGACGCTCAAAGTGGAAGAGGCCGGAACCCGAGGCGAGCTGGGAGTGCCGCAACACCGTGCCGATGTCGCTGTCCAAACGAAAAACCCGATCAGGTGTTTCGGACGTACAGGGCGTGGAAGCGACGAGACCGGAGCGTCCTACCTTAAGCCCACCTGCCTGCAGATCACGCTGGCGTCCCGGTCGCTCCAGTGAGAATCGCATATCGCTCCCCATTGGCCATTCAAGTACACTTCAACCCGCCCGCTGTTGGACGACGAGTCGCCGACCAGCCTGACGGCACCTATTGGACGAGATATTTGAAGGTGCGTAAACGTCAAAGAAAATTACGCCCTTCAATTTAGTCTTTCAAAGTGACAGCTCTCGACGTAAAACGATTTCATCTAGCGCAGACTAAGATAGCTCTTTTTAAAAAGGAGACAATTTTGAGCCTTTGAAATCAACATCTTTTGGTCAAACAGCAGACATCCGAATTTTAAGTCCCAAATTTGATGTACGTCTTTTGAAAACCTCAAATAATTTCTAGTCATCAAAAGTAACAGATCCCGTTGTGAACCTCAAAGACAGTCCACAGTGCGTAAACAATTCTGACGAAAGTCCTTCGCAAACATCCAAAACCTACGAAAGAAACCGCTTCGAATACAAAATGTTTGATCGTTCAAAATTTTTTTTGCCATACCCTGGTGACAGTCACAGTAGGCCCATCCGATGGCGCCTGAATTTTGCCGGAAGAAGCACCAGGGGTTGGACTCGCGGTCCGGGTTCCGGCAGTAGCTGTGCTCGCCGAGGCCGCGCCCCGGGTACTGCACCACGTAGTCGGGGAACTCGGTCCACTTGAGGCACGGGGCGCCCGAATCCGTCTGGGACACGGTGCCGTTGTAGTAACCCAGCTCGGTGAAACCCTCGGAGCAAGATAGGGGGACTGAGGGGGAGGGGCCGGGACGACGAGATCAAAAGTGAGGATTCCGAGACCGTTTTTTGACATTTTGTGGCTTCTTCACAGAGTAGCTACCAAGCAAACCTCTTTGAAGTGTTTGCCATTTACCAATGAGTATAAATATTTGTTAGCTCAGGTCAAAAATTCTCATCGTCACCGCCGCGCTAGTCAAAACCTTTTGCCGGCCTTCTTCAAATGGTGAGCGTTCCATGCCTGAGCAACACCGCTATTGTTTTGTTTTTTGTTGTCATCCTTTCATGCGACGTTGCTTTTTCTTGCAGCGTTTTGTTTGATCTGAGGCCAAGTTGCAGCTAAATTGTGATTAATGGCGGACGCGCTTCACCAGCCAGAAGTAGTCTTAACGCATTCGCACAAACGCCAAGGTAGCAGGAAGGGGAGGCAAGAGAAATCGGAGCGAAACAAGCGAAAAAGAACCCAAGAGCAACGATCAGTAGACGGTACACAAACGGGAGACGACAAAGAATCGTTTTGGGGTTGCAAAGTTAACGAGGATTTTAGTGAACAGCTCTGCAAAAAATGTGCAGCTGATTGTTGTTGTTGCGCAGACACACAGTGCGCTTGTGATCTCAGCAGCAGCTCGTGTCGCGTATCGCTCTGCTATCGTCTTGTACGTCATCATTAATTCATGTCGGACCGCTCCATGAACAAAGTACATTTTGAGTGCAACTTTCACGTGGTAAAAAAATGGACTCCTCTTGTGTGTTTATTTACTCACATTTTTTTTTTATTACCAATAACAGGAAATTTTGAGCGATTAAATCCGAAAAATATTTAAAAAACGGCGAACAGACTTAACCTCCCCCATCCTGCAGAACACACGCGCGCACGCGTTTGCGCTCTCCATCATCGCCACGACAACAACCCTCTCCCCATCGCCATGGGAACACTCAGCCTCCCTGCTCGTATAATCCATTTCCCCGCCACAAAGCGCATTCGACACGCTCCGCATTTGCTGTATTAAGGGTTTGGGGGGGTACGTTTTATTTGGGGGGGAGGGTGTTTATCGACGGAGCCAAACCAAGAACCACAATGTGTAGTAACAGCTGCACTGGCGCCCGCCTGCAGGTGTACCTCACTCTGCGTGTGAAAGCCTTTACGATTTTCTCACCCAATATGCCCCCCCGCCCCCACTTCGACGTACGCCATGGCCCCCCTCCCTTTCACACCCCCTCTCCAAGGGAAGAAAGAAATTAAAAAACGGTGGAAGGCTTCCAGCTGGAGGCGAATACGAAAGAGGAGCTTCCTCCCGTCCAAACAATGCGAGAATAGGAAATGGCGGCGAGGTCAATTTGGGAGGGGGGTCGGTCAGACAGAATCATAGGATGCGTCCGGTCACCTACCTGAGTTCTGCACCTCGTTTAAGTACGTCTCGTCAGCCACCACCTAAACACACACGGCAATAAATTAGACCATTAAAAAAAAAAATTATTTGTACTTTGATTATCCTTGACTTTGTGAATGTTATTTTTTTAAGTGAATGATGATGATGATGTCCTTTTTAAAAATAACTCGATGCATTATCGCATCAATCTAAAAGCACTGGGTAAAAGTACATTTATTTGTCATTCCCGTACAATACGCACACACAGACGCTCGCTCGCTCGCATACCAGCACACCTCTAATAGCTTGCGAGCAGGAACATGTGAACCTTGCTGGTGAGAACACGGATGGCAATATCACCAATCATGTCGATCACACGCCTCCGTTACCAACCTAATGTGCTATGATGCGCTTGCACCTGCTCCCTCCGTACTCATGCGCGCACACCCGTGAACACAGATGCAGGCCCCCGATTCACAAGGTGCCAGAAGGGAGGCACACTGAATGTAAGATGAATAAAAAAAAAAAAATCAATAAAATAAGCGTATATATTCAAAATTAAGCTGAAATGATTTAAATGACCTTAATTTTTTTATTCAATTTTTCAACTCCGATAACAATTAAAAATTAAATCAAGGCATTCGCCCCCCCCTCCAAAAAAAATTATATAAAAATACATATAAGTACCAATTTCATATGACAATATAGTAAATAATAAAATAAAGAATCATGACGTTTTAAAAAAAATCTAAATCAATGTTAAAAAGTTGAAATGTGGGACTACTGATGAGTCAAAGCATGTTGGCAGATGTTCCCAAAGTTGAACTAATGTGTTTTGCTTCTTTGGAGGAACATCTTGTGTGCGTTGCTGTGCTGCTGTTGTCTTCATTAGCAACAATGTGGGAATCTGCTCGTCTTCTATTTGGTGAGTATCATTAATTTCCCGCACCCTGTTTTGCGCTAATGAGTCCACACACACACACACGCACACGCACACACTTGTACAACACGAGCAGCAAAGCGAAAATGAACATTATCTCCCGATTAATTGATTCCTTGATCGTTTTTTGATGTCCTCTCAAGCAAAGTCAAACATATTGGAGCCCTGTGGTGTCAATCTGGGTCTGACTTGTCATTCGCAAGCTCTCGTAATATCACAAGACTGGGGTCGACTGGGGGGAGGAAGAAGGAAGTGAAGGGTCTCCAAAAGAGAGCCCTCACAAGAGTAAATGTCGCTCTAATTGGACTCTGTCGAGAATGTGTGATGGTGAGAAAATACTGTCGTGTCCAAACATTTTTTGCCTGCAAATTCTGCCACATCCTGAATTTTCTGAAAAAAAACAGGCACAAGGGATCCTTGTGCCTGTTTTTTTGTCAATTTGGCAGGCTGCTCTGTGCCATGCTGGACGTTCCGTAAAGATGCGCAATTTCGTGGCTGAAAGTCGACAAGCACGCCTGCTGGTACCACGTCTTTCGCCGCAGGTAGTGTCACATGGATGACAACGGGAAAAAAAATCCTCTGAATCGTTACTAGCTCATTTAATGGGGGCACCTTTTTGTTGTCTGTAGCCATAGCGGTGAGATGCAGTGATGATGTTCCCGTCACGCACCATTTTCCTCACAGAGATGTCTGCATGTGGAATGTGAGTACGCCACATTTAAAGGGAATGAAAGGAGACTCTTTGATTGGCAACGAATGATGTTGGCTGTGTTCACACCCACAGCGGCGCAAACTGTCCTTTTTTTTTTTTTTTAAAACAAGCGCTTTTGAATCGGAATCTATTTTCTTGCCATTTTTAGTGAAAGGTACATTCACATCTGAGTTTTTATACGAGCCAACTGTGCATCATAAAACATAAATGGTGATAATAATAATAAAATATAAGTAAAATAAGAAAAAATGAAATAAGCTATGCTTGTACAAAATTAAAGTCTGCAGATATACGCTGCACACCACTCTCGATTTACGACAATCTCAAAAGTAGAGCCCTGTGTATTAATTTCGAGAAACTAGACAACATGCATTAGCAATGAGAAGAACAAAACATGCATTAAGACAGAATAAACCGACAGTATAGACAGTAGCTTTGCATTGGGAAATGGAAGAAAACAGATGCTGTGCTTTCGGTAATAAAAGAAAATAACGGATCTACAAAGACGGAAGAAAATACAAAAGCGTTCATCAAAATATGGACAAAAATAATGGTGCTTAGAAACGCGGCTAAACTGTGTGGTCACCAATAGGCCAAAAACAATGTGTGCATGGAAATATGGCGATAAATGGACAAAAAATCCACTCTTTGCATACAAACAAGCGGCGAAAATTATGGAAATACAAAGAAAGTACAGTAATACACTATATCAATAGATGAGCTAATTTTCCTCTTTTCCTCATACCCTCAATTGATTTGACACAGAACAAGCATCATCATCATCATCATAATGCTCCTCATCCTCAATTGACATGTCTACTTTATGTCCACATGTGAACGTCAATGTGACGAGAGGACGATCGTACCTGCGCGCCCAACGGCAAGGGCAGCCCCAGGCAGGCGGCCCCGATCAGGCACAAGAACCGACGGCCGCTTGGAGACATCTTTTCCCGCCTTGCGTGGCCGCGTCCGTGGCAGGCAGACACCAACGCGCCGAGTGACGTGAGAGGATGAGGCGGATGCTGGTGGTTGGTGGGGCTGCTTTGGGAGAGGTCTCAACCGACCAGAGGGTGCGGCACTGGATGGGAATGGAAGATTGCACGCACACACACACACACACACACACACACACTCACACACACAATCTGGATAGGAATTGTGTTGAGCTCTGCAGAAAGCACCCTCTACCCCCCTACGTCTCTCGCGCTCTCTCTCTCTCTCTCGCTCGCTCGCTCTCTCCCCCCTCTTGTGTGTGTGTGTGTATTGGCAGGACTATAGTCTAAAAAATATGATTTATTAACCTGACTATATTTGCATTCATTAGGCCAAAGTGGGTGAGTTGAAGAGGGGTGAGCTTCGGTGCCTTTCGGAATGGGTTGTTACTTAATGGGCACTCGTTCATGAATCGTATATAGTGAATCAGCCAAACAAAATATATATATATATATTACAAAATTAAAAATACAAATGTCGTGAAGATCAAGAAATAAAAATCTTGACATCTTTGATGAATTGTGGTTCAATCAAATCATTTTGTGATTTTATTTCATTACATTTTTAACTTTGAGTTTTGTTTTTAAATTTTATAGATATTTGGAAGAATCCTATTTATTTTGCGCGACTGCCATCACGAAAGGAGTAAGTGGACGCCTTGTTTTCCTTCAGCGAATGGTGTTTGTGTTTTTGTCTTTTTAGGTGAAGTCTGTGCCATCAAACTATTAACCTCCTCCTGTTCCTCCCTCAGGTGGTCCGTAGGTCAAAAACCCGTTGAAGTCATCCATATTCAAAAGTGACATCTTTGTTCTTTCATTTTCTTATCTCTCTTCCTGCATGCTGCGATGCCTTCGAGCTGTGAGCTTAAATCTACTCATCCGTTTCACACACTTTGCTTGTACCCACCCGCTCCAGGCTGGGAGATTAGCATTTTTTTTTTATTTCCTTTTTAAGTTTCGTGGGGGTTTTTTTTCCCCCCTGCCAATGCAACCAAGGGCTGTCCCTCTATCTTTTAACCCAATTTGTTTGTCATCGTTCCTTGCTTTGATTATCTCGGCTGGGTGCTTTTTGAGCCATTTCTAATATTTTTACAATTTCCTGTGGCTTAAAAACAAATCTGCTCAAATGCTAACATGCTAACAGTTGACATGCTAACATAGCAAGATAGACATTACTGTAAAGAAAGTGCTGAGGGAGCTATATTTACGTGTGTGTGTGTGTGTGTGTGTGTGTGTGTGTCTTTCTGTCTTGATCTTTCTTTTGTCAGACCCCCAAAAAGAAGCTGGTTGTCATGGCAACACACCAGCCTCCTCTCACAATGGAACTGTACTGTATAACGACAAAAAAAAGTAATGTATTATAAATTTGATTACTATTCACACACACACGCTAATGTTTTTGTGCTAAAGTTGTCGCCAGGAGCCTTTTTATCGCCAATCCCGTTACACGCTCCTCGTCCCTGATGCTTATTGCCACGGCAACTGGCAAGGCAGCATATTTGGCCATAACTGTTAAGTGTCAGGAAGAGGAATTGTGTGTATTGCTGGGGGAAATTACACATTGTGACACACACACTAGACCCCCACTGTGCTCTGTGATGTTTCAATTTCCTTCCCTGGCGTTTATCTGACTTCCTCTCCCTTGAAGAGACTTCAGATACCAGTCTCTCTCTAACACACACAAACACGCCCTTACACACACGTATCAAATAAAGAGGTCTTGTCGGTGACTTTGTCGATTTGCCTTTAACCATGAGTGAAAACAAGAAGCCGTTTGCAGATCAGAAATGTGCCCCTCTTCATTCTCCTCTCCGCCGTCCCCTCTCATGTTTCTCAAAGTACAGATGGAGGAGGACAGAAGACACCTGGAAGATGGACAAATGGGAGCTGGCGTACCACAACTGTGAGTAATTTGAATCCGTTAAATGCCATGTTATTTATTATTAGCACATGTTCCAGTCAAAGCACGATTGAGGTTTGGACATGGTTAACTTGTGTTTTAAAGGCACAAGGTCACTGGTGGTGTGGTGGTCCATTGGCGTGACTTTGGCGCAGGCAGCGTTGCTTCAGTTGCCACTCAGTGGCAGGGTGAGTGCGAATGATTGTCGCTCTCTATTTGTGCCCTGTGATTGAATGGCGGCCAATCTGGGGTGTCACCTGCCTTTCGCCTGAACTCAGATGGGGTAGACTCCAGCTACCCCAATGGAAATGTAGCTTTGTATTACTTTTATTTCTAAAATATATCATTTATTTCTGATAGTTTTTTAATTAAGTAAATGTCATTTTTACTCATATCACCTTACTACCACTTTTGCGTCTTTTTATTTCATTTTAGTGCAGTCATCTGCATTTTGAAGCTAATTTTTCCCCTCGATTGGAAATAATGGATTTTTTTTTTTGCTGCAGCAGCGCCCTCTTGTGGACAAACTCACTGTGCACAGTTAATGATGCACCTACACAGCCGCAGGTGCAGGCGAGCTAACGGGACAGTTTCTATATAGGCACAGCAGGACCGGAAGCTCCCTTCAAACCTTCGACGTAAAATGTAGGGCTGAAATAACCAATGAACAACGCCAATAAAAACCTGGGTAATAACAATACTGTTGTAAACACTCGTTCAGGGCTTCAATTGCGCTTCGAAACGTAATCGAAATGATTTACCACGCCTGTTTGAGCGGCCTCTATTATCAAAAGATTTTAGTTCGAAGTCGCTTAACAACATGTCAACACTTGACACATCAGACTTTCTAATTAGCGTTATCCGGCGATGCTGGTGCACCGGTACACCGGCTGCAGCTAGCAGGAGCACCGACTTCTGTCACCAGTAAAATAAATGCATCAATAAAATCACCCCTAGAAGCCCGCGTTCGTCATGCCAATTCGGACGAGGATTTGACACTGAACGAGCGTGAGTATTTCTGCAAATTGTAGCCAGCCGCCGAGATGCTGACTGACATGAGCGTGGAAGAGGAGTTCGAACTGAAGGAGGAAGAGCCTTGGTACGACAAGCAAGACCTCGAACAAGGTAAATCTTCCCAACCTCTGTTTGCCTTGCTTTCGTTTGATTTCAGGGTGTGTTTTTATTGATTGTGCTCCTTCTTGATTTGACTCATTGGAGGAAAGCTTAGTAGTACTGCCAATGGGGCCAATTAGATCCTGCACATTAACACAAGTGGGTCAGTGAATCACAACTCACACAGTTTGGACACTCACTTTTGTGGCTTTGTGTTTATGCAGACTGTGTCTGTGTTCATGTCGAAATAGTAACGATGTCCACGCTGTCTTGTATGTGTCCGAACACAGATGTTTGGGCACACCATTAGACAGTGTCCAAACCAAGCATAAAACACAAATCGATCAGTGTCGTTTTCCACACCGGTTCTTTCCTGTGCAGACCTTCAGCTGGCCGCCGAGCTGGGCAAGTCACTGCTGGAGAGGAACCGTGAGCTGGAACAGAGCCTGCAGCAGATGTGCTCCACCAATCAAGAGCAAGTGCAGGAGATTGAGGTAAGACCCCCGGGACCCAGACAACCGGGTTGCCGAGGTTACGCTCATCAGCCATCAGACACGCCCAAGGTCTTTGGAATGTCTCTACTTCCCCCCAAAAAAATCTATCTTTTCAACAAAACAAAAAAAAAAAAAAACGGTGATTAAAATTGAAAATGTTTGCAGACAAGCGTGTCACTTTATGAAACGCCTTTTTAAAGACATGGGGAATAATTCTGTTGATTCCAATTTTTATTTGTGCTCCTGTTTTGTTTGTTGTATTTGTGCGTTTGTGTTTTAAGAGAAGCCATAAAACCTTGAAAATGATCCTTTAGGAAGTCCTTAATTTTAGCCCAGTTCAACTCTATTGGCTTGTTCACATTTACTGTCATGTGTGACGTGGAAGACCGTTGCGTCATCCTCGCTGAAAACAAAAACGAGCAGAGGACCCCCCCCATGCATGAGAGCGGAAGTGAATCTTTAGTGGACTGTTTGAACTCGTGGGGGAATTACTTTAATGTCCCCTAAGTCGGCTTTGTCTGACTGGCGAGCCCTTCCCGACGCTGACGTGTCGAATTAATCCCACAAGTCCTAAACGGAGACGTCATGGCACGCACACGCACCCTTGGCGCTTCTTGAGATTGTGTGTCAGAGTGAAGGCAATGTTCATTGACAACGGGTTCAAATTGCTGTTCTGATAAGATAAAAGTTCAGCCATCGTTGGCTCAATTTGTCAATAATGCACGGAGCACGTTCTGAGCAGAAATATTTTCATGTACCTCATGACTTGTCCTTCCAGAAGCTTTTGCTGATGTCGGACCAGCGCCGTTGTTACCTGGCAGGGAAATGCGCTCGCGAGGGAAATAAAAGAATAATGGTGAATGGGGTTGGAAATGACATTATTTGAAGGCCACCTCAAGGCAAAAATAAATCAAAAATATGTCCGCACTTTAGCTGTTGTATTTACAGTAATTGTTCAATTACAAAAAACAGGAAAGGCACTGTTTTTTGTAATTGTTTTTAAATGTACAATGTCTTGGTGTATTTGATTTTTATTTTTATTTTTTTGTGGTCCAGTACCTGGGCAAGCAGGTGGAGCTCCTGCGGCAGGTGAACGACCAGCACGCCAAAGTGTACGAGCAGCTGGACGTGGCGTCTCGCGAGCTGGAGCAGAGCAACCGCACGCTGACTCAGGACAACCGCACTGCCCAGCACAAGATCCGCGGGTTGGTCTCCGCTCGCCAAAATCGCATTTAGGATTTCAGCCCGACGCCAAAGGTGCTCCCAAGTGTCATTTGTCCGCGCAGGCTGAAGGAAACGGTGGAGGAGCTGCAGACGCGCGTGGACGAGTTGCAGCGGGAGACGGACGACGTGAAGCTGGGACCCTCGCAGGTCGCCCGGCGGAGGTGGCGCGGCGGCCAGAGTCTGGAGCAACTGCCAAAACTCAGGTTTAAGCCATAATGGCTTCTCGGCTGACCCGTCGGAAGCGTCCCAGCAGAGCGCGCCGCTCCCTCTGCACTGTTGGGGCGTCTCGCGAATTAGCTGCGAGCGCCGACGCGGACTAAAAGCAGAATTTGGGAATTTGTAAAACATGCAGGATGTGACTTTTGAATAATACTGGCAAAAATGAAGCGGTGTGAAAGGCTTTGCGGCCCGTATTGTAAATCGAACGTCTTATCGCCTCCTGCGCCCGAGATAAAACTTAAATATGATGACTAGTATGCCGTATAATAAGGTGGAGGGATGAGAAAATTGTGTTCTCTCAAGAGTGCAAAGTGCACGTTGCATCATGCCCCGCACTGGACTTTTACTTCAGCTTTCAAACCAAAACATTTGTGGTTTCACGACTTTCTATGATTCCTGAATGTGATTCTACGAGGTTTGAGACTTTGAACCCAATGTTACTCGGTACCCCAGCCCAAAAATGACAACCGAGATTTTTCAAATATGTATTGAAGGGTGACTTCTGCTCATATTTAGTCGAGTGAAACCTCTGCCGTGGTCTTTTGTGTTTCTTGACAATATTTGATTGAAATAATGCAACAATGTGTGTCTTCGCGGAGGAAAGGACGACGCTCTCCTCCACCAATTGGTGACCCCTCCCACGTGATTTCGGACCGAGGTTTCGGTCAACAGACAGAACATCGGGCGCCCGACAGATTGACAAGAGAAGGGGACAATGATCCTCTCAATTGATCTTCTGTCTGTTGGCTGAGATCGAGGTAAGAATTAAATCTCGGATTGACATTCGAAAGAGAGAACTCGTGGCTGGATGAACAGTGAAATGCGCAATTCTAATTAGATTTTAGGAGAGGTTGTTTCGTTCTGTCAAAGAATCCGAGAAACTAAAATTCCTCGAATAAAATGATTTAAAGGATATGTTTGGAGTTAAAGGATTGGGTGTTTTTGCGTGAAGAAAAAAAAAAAGAATCGAACCTATTTGGAATGAAGATTCGAGTACCCTGGTCTACGATCGGGACTGGATACTTCTCTAAAAGAGGATCGAGTGCTTTTGCTAAATTAACGTTCGAGTACTTTTGTTGGAATTGTATCGAGTACTTTTTGCTCTTTTTAACTGAACTTAACAATCAAATAAATCGTTTCAAAGCTGAGCAATTAAATGAACAAAGCAGCGGGCTTAGATTATTTTTTTAATATTCTTCCCAGTACCGGTATGATTTTTCTATTTATTTTTTTTTCATCAAATTTGCAAAAAAAGTTAAAAATGTTCTTGACAATGTTTTGGTAGCTTACTGCTGAATGTTGTCGGTGACTTTCAGGGTGTCCCACGAGAGAACGAAAATATTTTTGAAAAAGTGGAATCAGAATTCACAAATGGATTCTTTTTTTTTAAACATGTAATTTTGGTTTACATTTTGTCATTTTATCATGACTTAAATTTTTATTTTGACGCTCTCCCATGAGTCAGTAATTTGCGAGTGCCGCTACTTTATATTGCACATCCCTCCAATCACGTCTTGAGGCGGGCGTTTTAATTTCTCCACGCCGATTTTGTAGGCGCCGTGACGACGATCCGGAAGAAGCCCGTCTCGGCATAGACTGGCGCGACGGCGTGCGGCGGTGGCACGAGGAGCAGCAGGCGTCGCTGCGCCGCTCGCTACGCAGCCTCCAGGCCCAGTACGCGGGAGAACGCGCTCGGCGGGAGGAGGCCGAGCGGGAGGCGGGGCTGCTGAGCAGGCAGAACGAGGCGCTCGAGCAGCAGCTGGCCGGCATGGAGGCGTGCAGGGTACGACCGGGTCGCATTCACATGTCTGTGGACGCGTCCTCACTTGTTTTGTGTTTGCGTGCGCGCAGTTGCGAGTGTCCGAGTTGGAGCGAGAGGCCGAGGAACTTCGTCACCTCTGGAAGTCAAAATCCTTCTCCCGGCTGAATGTGGCTTACGCCCTCCCCGAGGAAGAGGCGGAAGTGGAGTGCGACGGCGAAGCCGAGCCCGGCGGGGCGTCCCCCCGCGGTCGGCGGCCCCTCAAGCGCTGGGCGAGCGAGCGTCTCCTTCAAGCCAAGCCCGGCGCCGAGCACGAGTGCCGGTGCGCTCAACGAGCCGCGGAGGAGGAGCGTGGCGGCATCTCGCTGCTCAACGAGGTGGACGCCCAGTACAGCGCCTTGCAGGTCAAGTATGAGCAGCTCCTAAGGCACTTTGGATTACAGCAACGCCACCAAGAGGAGCCGAGGCACAAGGCCGTCCAGACCGCCGAGCGCACCGCCGGCTTCCGGCAGCCCGAGTACAAGGAACTGTTCCGAGAAATTTTTGCTCGCATCCAGAAAACCAAAGAGGACCTGGAGAACAGGGCCGGGCCACCCTGCACCTGATGCCAGGCGCTGAGCCAGATGTCGGGGAGATAAAAAGCAGGTGGAAGACGAGCTTTGAACGGAAACCCGAATTTCTTTCTCACTATTTCTTTTGGGCCAGGCCATGCGGCCTGAACATCAGTGACCATTTGATTGCCACTATTGTCTGGTTTTTGCAACGTTGCAGTGAGCGCCGTGTCTTGGCAGGACTCTGCAGGAGGACGTCCGTGATTGCTTTCCTCTGGGATCCTTTTCATGTCAACAACGTGTCACCTGAAAATGATGGCGGCTTCCTCGGAGGTGAATTTGTTGCTTTTTTTAAAAAAATTCAGGTAAAGGAAGCCACTGCTTGATTTGACTCGCTGCCCTCTGTTTGCGCCGACTTTGAGTGGAAGCGGCGCATGTCAAACGGGATGACGACAGAAGCAGCAAAGAAGACTAAATTGATTAATCACCCAGCCCTAACTTGTACTTTTTTTGTTTGTGGAGAAAACTGTCGGTACCCCAATGTTTGTGAATAAAGGGGGGTGACAATTTAAAAAAAAGAAATAATCATGAAAAGTAGGAAGACATTGAATTTAAATGATGCTCAAACATTGCTTTCGATTTGTGGTTCAATGGCTGTATTGATTTATTTTTGAATAAACCCATGAAACAGGCTTGGACGAAACTGATGGCACCATCGGAAGAGACTTTTTCTCTCCCTCCAGGAAGCAAGCAGAGGAAGGAGGTTGGCTTGGATATGATGCACGCGGTAACTCATCAAAGTGCGCCGCACAGGTGTGGCAAGATTGCGACCGCCCGCGTGGCCTCTTTTTCTCAGCACATGAGCAAGGAAGTGAAGTTTATTGCCCTTTCTCAATGAGATTTTGCATGTTGCCCATTCTTTCACTTGCTTTTTATTTCTGGGCTTTTGAAGGACTTTTGAGGGCTAATTTGGCCATTTCTTAAGGCCTTTTTCTTCATTCAGCAGGGGGTTCACGGTGGATTGAATGAACAGAAAGCCACATATCACTGAGCTGGCGCTCAAATCATTGCTGCCAAAGGAAGGGCACATCTTTATTCAGTGATATACACAAATGAAATGAATACCACAGGTTAATTTTGAAACCGAACCGAAAAACACGACAATGTATAGAAAGGCGATTTTAGCCGAAAAAAGCGACCATGTCTTGTCAGGCCAAAAACGCCCGAAAAAACTACCATGTAAGGCGTTTTTAACCGAAAAA